GGCATCTGAGTGAGTCAGTAAGGAACAAACCCCAAACATGGGACATTGAGTACCTCCATTTACAGAAAGAGAAACAGGAGTTCCTTTACACCTTAAACAAAAATGGTAAAGTCGGTTTGGAAGTGAGATTTACAGTCATTCCCTGCATTTCTGCTTCAACTTATGTTGACATATTGCAGCATGTAGTATGTTAGGAAAGATGTGTTGCAATATTCTGCAATATTTAATGTGTAAAGGACAAAGTCACACCTCAATCCCAGGTTCTGAGTTTTGTGGGTGTTTTGTTTTTATTCTTTAATTCCCATCACCTAATCCCACCCATTTCCCCTCTGGTGATCATAAGTTTGTTCTCTATAATTAAGAGTCTATTTCTTTCTTCTTCTTTTTAAATGTTTGTTTATTTATTTTGAGAGAGAGTGAGAGAGAGCGACCAGGGGAGAGGCGGAGAGAGAGGGAAAGAGAATCCCAAGCAGGCTCTGTGCTGCCAGTGCAGAGCCTGATGTGGGGTTCGAACCCATGAACTATGAGATCATGACCTGAGCCGAAAGCAAGAGTTGGATGCTTAAACAACTGTGCCACCTAGGCACCCCAAGAGTCTGTTTCTTAATTTGTCTTTCCTTTATTTTTTCCCTTTGCTTGTTTGTTTTGTTTCTTAAATATATATGCGTGTGGGTGTATATATATATATATAATGTATGTTATAAACTTCTTTATCCATTCATCAGTCGATGGATACTTCGGCTGCTTCCATACCTTGGCTATTGTAAATAATGCTGATACTATAAATAAAGGGGTGCATGTATCCCTTTGAATTAGTATTTTTGTATTCTTTGGGTAAATGCCCAGTAGTGTGATTGCTGGATTGTAGGGTAGTTCTATTTTTAACTTTTTGAGGAACCTCCATTCTGTTTTCCACAGTGGCTGTACCAGTTTGCATTCTACCGACAGTGAAAGAGAGTTCCCCTTTCCCCACATCCTCACCAACACCTGTTGTTTCCTTTGTTCTTGGTTTTAGCCATTCTGACAGATGTGAGGTGGTATCTCATTGTAGTTTTGATTTGCATTTCCCTGACGATGAGTGATGTTGAGCATCTTTTCGTGTGTCTGTTAGCCATCTGGATGTCTTCTTTGGGAAAATGTCTATTCGTGTCTTCTGCCCATTTTTAATTGGATTGTGTGTGTGTGTGTGTGTGTGTGTGTGTGTGTGTGTTGAGTTTTATAAGTTCTTTGTATATTTTGGATACTAACCCTTTTTGGATATGTCATTTGCAAATATCTTCTCCCATTCCATAGGTTGCCTTTTAGTTTTGTTGACAGTCTCCTTCACTGTGCAGAAGTTTTTTATTTTGATGTAGTCCCAATAGTTTAAGTTTCTTTTTGCTTTTAATACCCTTGCCTCAGGACACATCTAGTAAGAAGTTGCTATGGCTGATATCAAAGAGATGGCTGCCTGTGTTCTCCTCTAGAATTTTTATGGTTTCAGGTCTCACATTTAGGCCTTTTATCCATTTTAAATTTATTTTTGTGTATGGTGTAAGAAAGTGGTCCAGTTTCATTCTTTTGCATGTAGCTGACCATTTTTTCCGACATGACTTGTTGAAGAGACTGTCTTTTTCCCATTGGCTATTCTTTCTTGCTTGCCACAGATTAATTGACCCTATAATTAGGGGTTTATTTCTGGATTTTCTATTCTGTTCTATTGATCTATATGTCAATTTTTGTGCCAGTGCCATGCTATTTTGATGATTACAGCTTTGTAACTATTACTTGAAATCCAGAATTGTGATGCCCCCAGCTTTGCTTCTCTTTTTCAATATTGCTTTGCCTATTTGGGATAGCCAAATATGAACATTATGATTGTTTGTTCTAGCTTTGTGAAAAATGCTGTTGGTATTTTGACAGGGGTTGCATTAATTGTGTACCAAAGATCACTTTGGGTAGTACAGACATTTTAACAATATTTGTTCTTCCAATCCATGAACATGGAATGTCTTTCCATTTCTTTTTTTTTTTTTTAATTTTTTTTTCAACGTTTATTTATTTTTGGGACAGAGAGAGACAGAGCATGAACGGGGGAGGGGCAGAGAGAGAGGGAGACACAGAATCGGAAACAGGCTCCAGGCTCTGGGCCATCCGCCCAGAGCCTGACGCGGGGCTCGAACTCACGGACCGCGAGATCGTGACCTGGCTGAAGTCGGACGCTTAACCGACTGCGCCACCCAGGCGCCCCTCTTTCCATTTCTTTGTGTCACCTTCAGTTTCTTTCATCAGTGACTTATAGTTTTCAGAGTATAGATCTTTCATTTCTTTGGTTAGAATTATTCCTAAATATCTTATTTTTTGTGCAATTGGGATTGATTCCTTGATTTCCCTTTCTGCTGCTTCATTATTGGTGTATAGAAATGCAACAGATTTCTGTACATTGATGTTGTATCCTGCAACTTTGCTGAATTCGTATCAGTTCTAACCATTTTTTGGTGGAGTCTTTGGGGTTTTCTATATATAGTATCATATCACCTGCAAATAGTGAGAGTTTTACTTCTTCCTTACTGATTTGGATGCCTTTTATTTCTCTTTACTGGCTAATTGCTGTGGCTAGGACTTTCTAGTGCTACGTTGAATAAAAGTAGGGAGAGTGGACATCTTTGCCTTGTTCCTGACCATAAAGGAAATGCTCTCAGGTTTTCCCATTGAGGATGAGATTAGCTGTAGGTTTTTCATATATAGCCTTTACTATGTTGAGGTATGTTCCCTCTAAACTTACTTTGTCGGGGATTTTTACATGAGTGGGTGTTGTACTTTATCAAATACTTTTTTCTGTCTCTATTGAAATGATCATATGGTTCTTATTCTTTCTTTTATTGATATGATATGATGCATCACACCAATTGATTTGCAGATAATGGACCACACTTGTATCCCGGGAATAAATCCCACTTGATCATGGCAAATGATATTTTTAACGTATTGGTGAATTCAGCTTGCTAGTATGTTGTTGAGAATTGTTGCATCCATGTTCATCAGGGATATTGGCCTGTAGTTCTTACTTTTAGTGGTGTCTTTACCTGGTTTTGGTATCAGGGCAATGCTGGCCTTATAGAATGAATTTGTAAGTTCTCCTTCCTCTTGTATGTTTTGGAATAGTTTGATAAGGATAGGTATTAACTCTTTTATTTTCTCCCGTGCTGAAACATATCCCAAGCATGGGTTCAGCAGTTGATAAAGTCATGGTTTGGGCTTGGTTGCTATCAATCTGGAAGCTTCCAGGTCCCAGCTCCTTCTCCCATCCTGCCCCTTGTCCCATTTCCTGCCATTAACATGTATGTGTGTGGAGGGGAGGCTTTTATGGCCTGAGGGCTAGAGGCTGAGCTAGAGGAGGAGGAGGACAGGGGTGTTGGTGTGGTCTCTGTTCCTGCCCAGGACCCAAGGAACAGAGAAGTCCCTTCTTTCCACCACTACCCCTGCAAATCTGGGCCCTGAGAGACACTGGTATTCATTCCACACTGTGAATGTGGGCCAGGATGTCCTCTGAGCTTTCCAAATGGCTCCTTGAACACCTATGGTGGAGTGGGTACCAGGGGAGGAAGGGAGGAACAGGATGTTGACTGAGGCAGACCACAGTGATTGGTCTGTGGAAACGTGTGAGGTGTCCCCTTGGACCTACTTGGAACTGACTGGAGCACTTTAAAAGAAAGGAACCAGGGGCGCCTGGGTGGCGCAGTCGGTTAAGCGTCCGACTTCAGCCAGGTCACGATCTCGCGGTCCGGGAGTTCGAGCCCCGCGTCGGGCTCTGGGCTGATGGCTCGGAGCCTGGAGCCTGTTTCCGATTCTGTGTCTCCCTCTCTCTCTGCCCCTCCCCCGTTCATGCTCTGTCTCTCTCTGTCCCAAAAATAAATAAATGTTGAAAAAAAAAATAAAAAAATAAAAGAAAGGAACCAGCTCCTTCCTTCTGTTACTTTGATAGATTGCATTTACACATATATACATATATATGTACATATGTATATAATATGTAATACATATGTATAAATGTATATGTGTGTATATATGTATATATCATGTAAATAACATAATATACATTATGTAACAAATGCTATAACATGTTATGTATTACATTACATGTCATACATTGTATCATATCAGATAGTATTATTTGTCCTCTATTCAATTTAGGCTTATATGGTGGTACATCCAACACTGTATCTTAGGATAAATAGGTAATATTTATGAATGAAAAACCATAGTTTTTAGGATGTTAAGTTCTGTCTAATGACTCTATGTATTAGACATGCAGAAAGAGACATTGAGTGAATTTGTCTTTTTGCTTAATTTCACATTAAAAACTTTGTTATTCTAATTTCCATAACACAAATTACCAACAAAATAATTAAAAAATTTTTTTAAGTTCCTCTAGAGTGACATTGTTTTCACTACCATCTGTTTCTACTTAGTTATGTGCTATCCTCTACGTTCTTTTTTGCATTCCTTTTTGTTATTAAAAATGGGCAAGGGTTTTGCAAATTAACTTTATTCTCTCTATAAAGCAGCCGCTCTTCATAAGTGAAAATAGAAATGACAGGGTTTTTTGGCAACATCTCAAGGTTCCAAGGCGTGCTAAGTTTAAGGTGTATGCCCAGAACCAGACCCTGAATGTCACCTGGGGGAGGAGGGAGTGAGAGGTGTCCTAACCTGACGCCTTCATGCAGGCTTCTATACCAAAGTGCCGCAGCCTGGATGGCTTGTGAACACTAGAAATTTATTTCTGAGATTTATAGTCTGAGGTCAAGGTGTCAGCAGAGGCCCCTCTTCCGGTCGCAGACTGCCTACTCCTCGGTGTGATCTCTTAAGGCAGAAATAGGGCTTGTGAACTCTCTGGGGTCCCTTTTATAAGGGCACTAATTCCATTTATGAAGTCATAATCATCAAGGTGATTATCATCACATTGTGGGTTAGGATTTCAACAGATGAATTTTGGGGAAATACGTTCAGTCTATAACACCTGAGTCTTAAAGAATCATGAAAGATGGAAACTCACGGCAGCGTGGTTTTGCTGACAGACCAAGGTTAACATAGACCCCAGAGGAATCTCTCCCATCGGACCAGAGTCCCACAGAACAATATTTCATTGCAAAAATGTAAGAATTTGGGTTTCAATTTAGAGGAATATTTTTTTCTTACTCCTTGAGGGGCACTTACCAGAATGTGTCTTCACCGGACAGGTTTATTTAAAATAGTTCAGGTTGGGGCGCCTGGGTGGCGCAGTCGGTTAAGCGTCTGACTTCAGCCAGGTCACGATCTCGCGGTCCGTGAGTTCGAGCCCCGCATCAGGCTCTGGGCTGATGGCTCAGAGCCTGGAGCCTGTTTCCGATTCTGTGTCTCCCTCTCTCTCTGCCCCTCGCCCGTTCATGCTCTGTCTCTCTCTGTCCCAAAAATAAAAATAAACGTTGGAAAAAAAAATTAAAAAAAAAATAAAATAGTTCAGGTATGTGGGGTGCCTGGGTGGCTCAGTCGGTTAAGTGCTGACTTCGGCTCAGGTCATGATCTCACGGTTCATGAGTTCGAGCCCCGCGTCAGGCTCTGTGCTGACAGCTCAGGGCCTGCAGCCTGCTTCGAATTCTGTGCCTCCCTCTCTCTCTGCCCCTCCCCTGCTTTCTCTCCCTCTCTCTCTCTCAAAACTAAATAAACTAAAAAAAAATTTTAAATAAAAAAAATAGTTCAGGTATAGTTAATCGGTTGCTTAGTGACTTAACAATGGAGCTACATCTGAAAACATCTTGATGCTACAATTAGTGATTGCCAAGTTAGAAGGAGAAAATTCATGACTGCAAAAGAGAGACTTGCTTCTGTTGATAAATGAAGTGAATGAACACCTGTGGAAAACAAGATTTCTAGTTTGTAAGTGCCACTTAATCAGTCATAGTAATGAAACCGTCTCTGAAGAGCACTGTATCCTTCCCCAAAGGGCTTATTCTGTACATTCTCTCATTAAATCTGCTGATTTTACTGAAGAGCATCCTGTAGCAAGAACTTCTATAAACCTATAGTTGTTCACTGGCTGTTTCCTATGTGCTGGGCACCAGGGCAAGCACTTTGCATGTTGTCCACCCTGCTCTGACACTGCCTCATGAGATAAAAGCTCTATTGTCCCATATTCCAGGTCCCGTGTTACAAGGCTCACACAGCACATTGCACCAGGAGAATTCATCAGTGCCTCTATCATCTCCTGCCTATGCCTTTGATATTATCCTTTCAATATTATTTACCCCATCACATTCCAACTATTTCTAAATACTACTCTTCCTTCGTTGGTTGTTGGATCAAATACACCTTATTAGTTTAAAAAGAATCTTTCAGGGGCGCTCAGTGGCTGGGTGGCTCAGTCGGTTGAGCGTCCGACTTTGGCTCAGGTCATGATCTCGCGGTTCGTGGGTTCGAGCCCCGTGTAGGGCTCTGTGCTGACAGCTCGGAGCCTGGAGCCTGCTTCGGATTCTGTGTCTCCCTCTCACTCTGGCCCTCTCCCACTCACACTCTTTCTTTCTCTGCCTCTCAAAAATAAAGAAACGTAATAATAAAAAAAAAACTTTTATAAAGAATCTTCCCCTAGGTGTCTGCCTGTCTTTTGTTCGGAGAATCCTATGTGAATACCTGTGCACTGCAGTGGTTCTGGGTAGCCCCCCCGGGCTTGTAGCCTGGTGCCACCACTTTCTAACTGAGCAAGTGACTTTACTTCCCTGTGCTTCCCTTAGTAAAATTAGGGGAATGATGGTGTATTTCATGAGGTTATGTGAGGGGAGAAAAAGACAGTACCTAAAATGGAATAAAATAGTGCCTGATGTAGTAAATACTCAGTAAACATTAGGTTTTCTAATATTACTGTTCCTATTGCTGTCATTGATTCCCAATACTTTCTCACATTTGCATTTTTAATTAAGTCTTTTCTCTAAATCTATTCTCTCTCTTATCTATATTTATATTAGATATGTTCGTGTAATATATATTCATATTATGTACATCATTTACATCTATAAAAATAGCTTGCTGTCTTTCCCACCATCTGCCTCTAAACTTGTTACTCATCTGCAGTACTGAGTACTGAGTACTGAGTGCTGCAGTACTCTTTGCAACCTTTCCTGACCCGCACTCCCTTCGGAGACGCCACCATGCTTCGTGACTTCCATCTTTAATATCACTCGTGGCACTCATTACAGTTCGTTGCTTCCATATCTATCTCCCTAATAACTATGGACTCATTAGGATCAGGGACCATGTCTTATGTATCCTTTTAATCTCAGTACATTGCAGATTTCCAATTATTTTCAGTTAACGAATGGATGACTGAATTAACAATGTTTGAGGGGTGATATTATTCATTTTTAAAATGAAGTCTACACAACAGCGCAAGAAGAGGCTTTTAAAAATAATTAAGTCCATTCCCTCCCTTCCCATTATCCCTTCCTTTGGAGCCGGGGAAGCAGAGGTACAAAAGGGTAAGACTCACATTGATAGTAAGCGGCCAGAGTATGCGTGTAAAGTGCTCGGCCCTTGGCAGACAATCAGAAATAGTTGCCAAGGGTGCCTGGGTGGCTGACTCAGTTAAGCATCTGACTCTTGATCTCAGCTCAGTCTTGATGTCAGGGTCATGAGTTCAAGGCCCACGTTGAGTCTCGCGCTGGGCGTGAAGCCTACTTAAAAAAAAAAAAAAAAAAAAAAAAGAGTTGCCAAACAAGAAATCCAAATCTTGCGTCTTTTTTACTATGTTTCGTCCCTTTTCATCATTAGTCATTCTATCAGTGAAGATGCTTTTAGCTACATACAAGTGACAGAAAATGCAATTCAGATTGGCTTAAATAATTGGCTCCTTTGATTTGAAAAGCTTTCTGTGTCTCCGTGTTGCCTCCTGCGGTATGAGGTTTATGCTAAAGCTGCCTTCTTCTTAAGGGCGGCTGCCACCTACCCTCAGGGCTATCTGCTTGGCCATCCACAACCAGAAAAGAGAGAAAGCGAGGGTGAGGGGACAGCTGTGGATGGGGGTGGGGGTTACGGATATGGTGGGGAGGTTTCTTTTGGCAGGGATGAAAATGCTCTAAAATTGTGGTAATTGCTGCACAAATGTGTGAGTATCCTAAGACCCATGAAATGGTATACTTTAAGTGAATTGCATGATAGGTGAATTATCGCAATAAAGCTGTTTTGTTGTTGTTGTTTTTAAAGCTGTTTTTTTGTTTTAAATGAGAAAAACGGGGCTTCACTTGACAGTTCATCCTCTGGCAAGACCCAAGACATTTTGTGTGCCCTTAATAGGAATTTAAGCTTGCTTTAGCCCACGTCATTTGTAATTGTCAGAACGACACGAACGTGGACATATTGAGATGCATGGCCCCACTGTGCATGAAGTCTGAAGGTCGTCAGAAGAGAGGAGGAGTCGAGGACATCAGGGACACTCCTGTACCTGAAGAGGATTCTGATAGAGCTCAAGCATCAGGTATCCCTGGTCCCTTTGGCTCCCCTCCTTCCAGCATGGTGGGCAAGTGGGGGGAGTTCACTTATGTCCATTCTAAGCAGTCTCCTTGGCTGCTCACTTTCCACTGGTTCCTCTGTCGTCCTCTGCTCTCGGTCCCAGGCCACTGCCTGCTTTCCTGCTCTTTACAGCCCGAAACTCAAGGACCCCAGTCACTCTCAAACAAATGTTGCCACCCTCGCCAGGGCATTTGTGGCAGTTTCATTTCATTTGTGGAGCAGGTAGTTAGGCCTGTTCTAACAAATGGTCTCGAAGCAGGTTGCTTAAAACAGCAGCAATTTACTGTTTCACAGTTCAGGAGCCTGGAGGTCTCGCATCAAGGTTTCAGCAGGGTTGGTTCCTTCTGGAATGAATTCCACGCCTGCTCCTAGCTTCTGAGGCCTGCGGGCCATGCTTGCTGTTCCTGGCTAATGGGTCTCTCCAATCTCTGCCTCTGTCTTCACATAGGCGTTTCTCTTCATCTGTATGTTTTCCTCCTTCCCGTCTGTTATAAAGGACACTAGTCACTGGATTGAAGGCACACCTTATCCAGGGTAATCTCCTCTAAAGATCTTTGCCTTAGGTATACCTGCAAAGGTTTACTCCAAATGAGATCACATGATGAATCTCCAGGGGGGCATGAGTTATTGGAGGACACTATTCAACCCGTTACCAAAAGTGAAGAAACACTTCCATTTGGGGCTATCCTCTTTTGCCCCGCTACAACGTCACTACTCACAGTTACGTGGACTAATCAGATTTTGCTGAAGTCTTGGTGAAAGGAAAAGGGAGCTAGAGCATATAAAGGGAAAACAACTATATGCTAACTGTGATTTTTTGAAATAAAAGATTCCTCTAGAAATCAAACCTTTCATAGCCATCACACGATGAGTAACAGATCTTCCACCTCAGGCCCATGAAGCATGGAGGAGGGCTCCCTTCTTCAAATGTCGATGGTACAGCTGTCCCTTCAATACTCCAGGGATTGCCCTCACCCTAGGGACCTTCCCTTTCCCCAGCAGGTAGTTCAGGGGACCCAATCATCATTAATCATTTTCCTAAGTCTGAGTTATCTACTACTAGAGTCACCCCATGGGGGCGAGTCCAACAGGATGGTCCAAGGTAGGGTTGACAACATGGAGTACAGTAGAAAAATCGGGACTAGGCACAGCACTCCATATCCAGTTGCTTTTGAAATAACACCACCCTTGAGAGTTACGGCTATGCCTCCTTCTTTTTCTAATTGTCTCCACATCTCTCAAGCATAGTTTCCCAAAACAATGGGGTTTGTAGTCATTTAGGTACTGTGAGAAGAGGTTCATTACTGAGCCATATATCCCTTAATATAAAGGCCAGAGTAAGTTTTTAAAGGTGATATCCTTCTACAATCCTCCCTTACCTTTTCTTGGGGGTAGTGGAGATGGTGGTGGTTGTGGTAGTAGGTGATATAGGTGAGGGGGACAGTGGTTCATTGTCCTGTCATACGACCAAAGTCATTTCTGATTAGAGATCACTTATAAATCACTAGTCTTATTTCAGACGTAGTTCGCTTCCAAATTTTAAGTATATTCTTGCATACACAGGGCTCACAAAAGTACCATCTATTCATGAAACACACTAATGACTTTTACGTGCAGCCCAAACAAATAGTATTGGCCAACTTCTTGCTTCCCATTATCCTGAAATGTAAACAGAACCAAGATTTTATGTGTTATGGTCTCTATAATTTTGGAAATTCCTACACACGTATCAGCAGAATCTTTCAGGGCACATCTTCTTGGGTTAGGCCAACACCTTTCCTACTGAGGCCAAGGGGCTTCTTGGCCATATCTCTAATCCTTTATTTTCCCTTACCTGCTTCTTGTATTTAATTTCTGGCCTGAATTTTTATTGGCTTCGGCTTTATTTCCTGGAACAATTTCACTGTTACTGTTTTTGTTTCATTATGGAATATTTCATTCATATGAAAATTATGGAGACATATAACAAGCAACCATTGTTCGACTTAAACAAATGTCAATATCTTGCATGCTTTGGGTTTTTTTTTTTAAATAAATAAAACATTACGGATTCATTTGGGACCAGATAGGTGCAGGGTTTCCTTTCTTTTTTGTAACCTTCTTACTTATGTTAGTGTTTTAAAATTTGGTTAAGAGAAATTTTATTTTAAGAAGTAGCTAAGTTTCTTCAGAGAATGTTTTTCTTTTAAATGACGGGAAAGTGAGTCCTTTGGATGGTGGATTCTGGCTGTTTCCATCCTAACCTTTTCTCATCCCGCAGCCCCTCCTGCCTGTCTCCTGCACACCGTGGCTTGATTACTCCACCGATGACTCCTTACTTCCTATCTTCAACCCAGGTCTCTCTTTGGAATTCCAGACTTGTACATCCAGAGGTCACCTTGCTGTGCCACAGACCCTTCCATATTAACATAACCCAGCAAACCCGTGATGTCCTCCAACTGCTCTTCCCCATCTCAGTGGATGGCACCATCATTCATGCGATTAGGCGTCTCGGACACCTACATAACTGTGGCGCTTTATTCTTCGTTACTTCTCTAACTCTGTCAGCACGTCCTACTGATTCTGCCTCCTCAAATAGGTATTACACTTACGGACTTCTCTCTTCCTCTGTGACCACCACGCTAGTCTAAGGTGTCATCTCCTGCTCTCACTGTAGCAATAGCTTCCCAACTATCCTCTTTCTTTCCTGGGGCCTCCAGCAGGTTCTCCACACAGCAGCCAGAGGAAGATTTTCAGAACACAAATCTGGTAAGACCCCATCCTGCTGGACTTTGATTCTTAAGATGAAAAAGAATGCTGCGTGGTCAGGGTAGTCCGGCCCAGGCTACTCCTCTCAGCCTCTTCTGTGACCCTCACTCTATGCCCCAGCAACTAGGCCGTGAAAGCAATATGCCTAGGGGCATCCGGGTGGCTCAGTTGGTCAAGTGTCCACTTTGGCTCAGGTCATGATCTCACAGCTCATGAGTTCCATCCTGGCAATGGGCTCTGCTGTCAGGACAGAGGCCACTTTGGATCCCCATCCCCCCACTCTCTCTGCCCCCTCCCCTGCCAGCACGCAAGCTCTCAGAAATAAATAAACAAAAAAAGAGAGAGAGAGCAATATGCCTATTCTTCTACCCACAGCCTCTGCATGTGCTGTTGCTCCCTCCTTATGAAGTACTCACCAATTTATGGGGTTAACTTCTGTTTATCACTTAGATCTCAACTCACATGTTATGTCCTTAGGAAACTTCCCTGACCCCACCCCCCCCAATCCGAGTCAAGTTTCTTTAATATCTGTTTGTATCTTTTCCTCCTGGGACTTTTCTCAGATATAATAATATGCTCTCTTGTTTACTTGATTAAAATTGATCTTCTCACCTCTCCATCCCCTACAAATATATTGTAAGATCTGTGAGGATGTGAATAAATAAGTGAATCTCAAGCTATGTGATTTATAGGTAGCCTCGTTGGGACCATGTGGAAACAAGCATGATAATGCCGATAATAATGTTGTGGCAGTCAGGGTGTCCATTGCTATGATCTCTCCTTCCTCTGTTTCAAAAATTACATCAAGGGGCACCCGGGTGGCTCAGTGGGTTACGCGTCTGACTTAGTCTCAGGTCATGATCTGAAGTCCGTGAGTTCGAGCCCTGCGTCAGGCTCTGTGCTGACAGCTTGGAGCCTGGAGCCTGGGTCGGATTCTGTGTCTCCCACTCTCCCTCTTTGTCCCTCCCCCACTTGCACCCTGTCTCTCTCTTTGTCAAATATAAATAAACATTAAAAATTAAAAAAAAAATAAATGAGGTGTTTCAAAAATAACATCAGGCCATAAGCTAATGATACCACTTGTATAATAAGATAAAGGAGAGAAAAGCTCCTGGCATAAGATGCTTGATGAGAGATAGACTATTAATTTTTGGTATCTTAGCGAAATGTAAAGAGCTGTGAATCCAAATTCCTGTTGTACCTCTTGAGTGTTCTTGGGGCGTCAGCCAGGAGTGACAAATGCTAGCCTCAGTGTCAGCCTCTCAAGCGACAATATGCTATCTTCTAAGTGAGTTGTAATCACTAGAAATGATACATCCACAGCGCCTGTACCATAGTAAGAGTAGGTAAATATTTGCAGACTAAAGAAACAACTTAATACATCAATTAGTGAGAGTGAAACACCCTAATAGCAAATGCTCAGTGAATGGAAACCATAATAAGATGACAAAATGACGGAAAGAATGCTTTCTTGTAAGAAAAAGGAGGTGGCGAGCCGATGTGGGAATAAAGGATTGAAAATCGGTGGAGGGCAATCAATCCTGGACAATAATGCAGAAGAGGTTGTGTTTCCAGGCCGGGTGCTTGAGCAGCTTCACCGTGTTAACGGATCTAGGATGGGCCGAAACCCACAGCCGGCTGTCTATCACGCAGTGTTACCTGATGTCCATAGGCAGCTATAGACAAAAATGAGTGGAGAGCCTCACAAAGGAAAGGATGAGCTAGAGACAGAGAAGCGGAACCAGGAGAGTAGGGTGGGGAGGCGGGGCGGGGAGGCTGGGGTAGGTCAGAGAGGCCAAATGAGGAGGCGGTGGTCAGAGCTCCAAAGAGCAGTTCGGATGGCAACAAAACCACATTCTCTGTATCTAATGATAGCCATACGAAGGTCAAGGATGACTTTGGCAAAGCCCAGTTTTCACCAAAGTGGGGATGCGGGAGTCAGAAACAACTGAGCTGGGCGGTGAGTGGGCGGAGAGGAATACAGGCAGGGAGATTCTTTCAAGAAATGTGTCCCTAATTGGCAGGGGAGAGACCGGGTGGGGTAGTTTGAAGGGGAGGCAGGGTTGAGAGAGGGGTTTTTTGTTTATTTTGTTTTTAGGTGAGGAGGCGTGGCATCGTTACAGCCTGAGAAAGGAATTGGAAACAGTGGCCTGGAGAAAGAGAGGATAACGAATAGGTTGCAGTTCTAAAGAGGCATCAGAATGCCAGGCCTGCCCTCGTCAACCCGGTGGTACACCCCAAAGTAAAAGAAAATGCATTCTTGGTCTCCCTCCTCCATTCATCGGTATGGCCCTGGACCCTCTCCCTTGGCCTCTGCTTGCACTTACATTCTTGACCTCCTGCTGCATTGCCCTGACCTTTTGCTTTGCCTCTTATTTTCTTTAGCCTGCTCTCACCCTTAAGATCTGATGACTGATTTAGCTTCCCTGGCGCCCGGCCACTGTTCCCCTTGGCCGCACTACTTGCCTTCACCCTCAGCTGTTGCAACTCTTGGCCACCCTGAGGAAAGGCCCTGCCAAGCCCCACTCCCTGACTCGTCCACGTGGAGGAGAAGGGTTTCCTGGGGGAGCTCACATCAAGAGGATGAAATCTGGGTGCAGGGGAAGGTGAGCTTTGAGGCTGGCGGGGAGGTGGGGAGGGAGCCAGAGGAATTTCCCCAGGAGGGTGACTTCAGCCTTCTCTTCAGTCTGATTCTGTACCATTCTGGCGTGTTTTGGTTTGGTTTGGTTTGGTTTTTACCACGAGGATGTATTACGGAAAAAGCACAACTTTTGTTTTTAAAACAAAAACTGATCAATGAGGGGGAAGGAAGTGTGTTCATTCATTCATTCACTCATGCATTCATTCAACAGATACCTTTTGAGCCCCAGGCGGACCGTGTGCTGGCCACACTGGCGAACGGGCTCCATCCCTGATCTCAGGGCGCTTGCCACTGGGCAGGGGAGATGGGCAGACATTAAGCAAATAATTACTCACCTATTTACGTCAGTGCAAAAGTTGGGACTCTGGGAGGGTTGGGCCCTGAGTGCTACTGCTTTCACTGAAGGGTAGGAGCCAAGGTCATTTGCTCAGAAAGGAGACGGAGCTGGGTAGGGGGCTGGAAAGCCTGCTGAAGATTAGGAAGAAGTGTTGCAGGAAAGGGGTCGGGGGGAACGTGTTAACAAGAGCAGAACTGTGCATACTTTTTGCTTTGAAGGTTTCCAGATTCAAGTGCCAGAACTTGATTGTAAGCTGGCCATGTGTGTCACATACTTGCTTTCAAAAAGCAAATCCCTTTTCTTTAGACTCTGTTAGTCATCGTTCTCTTTTTAACATGGCCAGCAACGATCTCCTTTTGCAGAAATATCTTCTCTTCACAGTGACCGTACTAATAGCCAATCTGGGTCTTCAGGACCGTTAAGTGACAGGATAGATTTTTAGATTAAAAACAACACAACTGTGTCCTCATTAGATTCTCGAGAGTCCTTCATCCCTCCCCACTGGGCTTTGGCAAACTCGGAACCGTTGGCTTCCCAGGGCATTGGCACCTGCTTAAGCCTCAAAAGTATATTACCAATAAATTGACTCCAGCTTTACCTAGCATATTTAAACAATAACAGCTTAATTATATTCTTGCAAATTATAGGGCCCCACAACATATTTTTCATCTATTGTGCACCTTTTTCATATCATTCACTATTTTAAGAGAATATATTTTCCGAATATTGGAGAAGAGAATTAGCAATAAAACCGGCATCTCCTAGGTTTTTCTCTTGCTGGAAGCAGTGCTTTATTTAATTTACCCACAGGCTTTATCTTCTATGTAGTGATTTCCAAATGTATTTCGAATTTGCTAGTGAGTGGTGTACAAAAATCAGGGTGTCTTCAGATATCAAGGGATAACAAAACAGAGTGTGACAAAGAGAAGTATCTCACTAATAGTTTCTAGATAACTGGTTCATTTGTTTTGTATGTACCTTGCCTGCCTCCCTCCATTCATTTTTTTGTGCTGCCCCGGATAGATATCTCCTGTAAAAACAATCTATTATGAGCTGTAAGGAGGGAGACAAGGAGAGACAAGATATGTCACTGAGTTTTAAAAAATATCTGTATGTGTTTCACCTAATAGGCAAATAATACATGTTTATTACATTGAATTGAATTGAACCAGGATCAAGGGCATGTGGCTTACAGCTGAAATTCGGTTGCTTATGGTATCCGGTCGGATCAATAGTACTGGGGGAGGAAAGAGAAAGGAAGGAGGCACAATATGAAACAAAGTGAGAAAACAAAAGCAAAGTGAAGAGCAAACAATTACAAAGATGGATATTAGTACATATCTACATTAGGTATACTGTTACATACGTTTATAGGTATATATGCTCCTACATCTATGTGTATATGTGTAGCAGTCTCCACATGTGTGTGCAGCAATAGTAACATTACAGGGTCAAATGTTAATAAGTAAGAAATTGGGGGGCGCCTGGATGGCTCAGTCTGTTAAGCCTCCAACTTCGGCTGAGGTCATGATCTCATGGCTCAAGTCATGATCTCACAGTACGTGGGTTCAAGCTCCGCCTTGGGCTCTGTGCTGACAGCTCAGAGCCTGGAGCCTGCTTCAGATTCTGTCTCCTTCTCTCTGCCTCTCCCCTGCTCGTGCTCTGTCTGTCTCTGTCTCTCTCTCAAAAATAAATAAAACATAAAAAAATTAAAAAAAAATTTTTTTTAACGTTTATTTATTTTTGAGACAGAGAGAGACAGAGCATGAACAGAGGAGGGTCAGAGAGAGGGAGACACAGAATCTGAAACAGGCTCCAGGCTCTGAGCTGTCAGCACAGAGCCTGACGCGGGGCTCAAACTCATAGACCGCGAAATCATGACCTGAGCCGAAGTCGGCCGCTTAACCAACTGAGCCACCCAGGTGCCCCATAAAAAAATTTTTTTAAATAGGATATCGAGTTCAACTTCATCATATCTATTTCTTTCATTTTTTTTTAAAGTTTATTTATTTATTTTGAGAGAAAGGGGAGGAGGGGTAGAGAGAGAGGAGACGGACTGAATCCCAATCTGCTGACTGCACAGAGCCCCATGAGGGGATTCAACTCATAACCATGAGATCATGACCTCAGCCAAAATGAAGAGTTGATGTTTAATCCACTTAACAGGCTGTGTCACCCAGGCACCCCTGTATTTCTTTCATTTAAAATTTTTTTTAATTTTCATTATTATTATTATTATTATTATTATTT